CCAGCAGCCAGTTGCTTTCTTCCTTCTCTTAGGGAAACGTTGCTGGACTGTTTCTCGCAAATTCTGTGCAGTATAACATGAAAACCGCAGCCCTGCAGCCAGCCTTACTAGCTGTGTCTTTGAGTAAATTCCTTAACTTTGGGCAAGTACCTCCGTTTATTCATCCTTAAAATAGGGATAACAATAGTACCTACCACAAAAGACTTCGGCGATGTAATAAGTCAATGCGTGGGCAGTGTCGAAGCACATGGTGAGCACTCTCTCTCTATATAGTTGGTGTTGGGTGCCTTTGAGTCGCTTCTGACTCATAGCGACCCTACAGGACAGAGTAGAACTGCCCCATAGGGTTTCCAAGGAGCAGCTGGTGGATTTGAACTGCCAACCTTTTTTGGTTAGCAGCCAAGCTCTTAACCACTGAGCCACTGGGGCTCCATACGCACACACACACACACACACACACGTATATATATGTATAGATCTATACATATATATATACATGTATATATACATACATAATATATATATAGGAATCCCTGGTGGATAGTGGTTAAGAGCTATTAACCAAAAGGTCGGCAGTTCAAATCCACCAGCTGCTCCTTGGAAATCCCGTGGGGCAGTCCTACTCTGTCGTATAGGGTCACTATGAGTCAGAATCGACTTGAGGGCAATGGGTTTGGTTTGGTTAATAGAACTTGTATCTGTCTACTATACGCGTCTCTCTGTTCCCACTGCCACCACCTTGGGTCAAGGCCACGTCTTACCTGCCCCCTAAATTAGCCTCCTACCCAGGCTCTGCATTCACACTGGACAGCCTCACTCCAGTATCCGTTTTCAAAATCCCACCTGTCTGTGGCTTTGAATTTCTGTAGGATAAAATCCTCGCTGTGGCCTGCAGGTGGGGGCCCTGCCCACCTGTTGCCCTCTTCCTGCATCCTGGCCCCGTCTCTGCCCTCCAGCCACACTGGTGGCTCCCTGGGGCCTCAGCCGCACTCTTCCTTCCGTGTGGGAGGATTTGTCAGCCCCCATCCCCACCCCCAAAGTCAATGTCTTCTTCAGAGTTCAGCTCAAACGTCACTTCCCTGATTCCTAGACTGAATCAATTCTCCAGCTACACTTGGCTGTTAAATCAACTGTAATCAAATAATTCTAGAAGGATCCACTGAATGCTCCTCTCCCCACGAGATGGCCCTGAGGGCTGGTGCCCTGCCTGTTTTGTTCACTGGGTTTCCGGCACCTACACGGTGCTTGGAATACGGTAGACTAGATGTAACTACTGGAGAGGATGCTGTTGAACAACAAAGACCTCTTTATCACGAACATTTTTAATCAAAGATAGCCAAAGCTGAACACAATCCTAAAACCGCCAGAGTGTGACTTGCTCCCTTGTGCTAACGCTACTCGCAGGGCCCGGGGCCTCCGGCTTATCTTGGGAGGGGCGGCAGAACAGCATCTGGGGACTTGTGACTCAGGAAGCAGAGGGAGAGGCCTTAGTACGAGACAAAAGGACTGCATCTTGATAAATGAAAGTACAACCAAAAATATCAAAAATCACATTTGGGATAAAATGTAGATGCTTTTAAGAGCACAGAATTAAAATAAGGAAATCAAATCAACAAAGAAAATAAGCCTTAAAAAGGAGAGACTCCCTACCTGGCTCGGCTCATCGTCTGTGTTAACCGTTTAAAGAACGTGTACTGGTACCTCACTTGCCTCCGTGTGTCTCCAAATACTGTTCGAGTCAAATCATATCTTACGTGCTCTATTAAAAATAGGCACAGTTATATCTTCAACATAAAGAAGGCTTTTTGAATCATTTTGTGCAGCAAGTAAGCATTCTCCAATTTACTGTTGATGTGAAGGCTGGTGTTTTTAAGGATTCTCCTCATTCTATAGGTACATTTTCCCTGGGGGATTTCATGAAGCTCCATGGCTTTAACACTGCTGTGGACTTCCAGAAGAACCAACAAATCTGTCTTGGAAGAAGTACAGCCAGAATGGTGCTTAGAAGCAAGGATGGCGAGACTACGTCTCACGTACTTTGGACATGTTATCAGGCGGGATCAGTCTCTGGAGAAAGACATCATGCTTGGTAGAGGGTCAGTGAAAAAGAGGAAGACCCTCAACAAGATGGACTGACACAGTGGCTCCAACGATGGGCTCAAGCACAACAACGATTGTGAGGATGGCGCAGGACCAGGCAGTGTTTCCTTCTGCTGTACATGGGGTCGCTATGAGTCAGAACCGACTGGACGGTACCTAACAACAACACTGCCTCCGTGTGAACCCACCTGTACAACACTCAGCCACCTCCTGGACATCTTGAATGCTCCTCAGACTGAACCCATCCAACTCTGCTTCCTCCTCCGCTTCTCATGAAGGACCGCCCACCTGCCCCTCACCCACCTCCCAGCTGGAAACCCAAGGGGCATCCTGGCTCCTATGTACGAGCGTGGAGAAGACTCCTGGGCCTGTGGTGCGGATGCAGGTTAGGGAGCGGCCCTCGGCTGGCACTGCAGGCATTTCAAGGCCTGGAACCTGCTGGTGAGCAGAAGTGTGGCCTTCTGTGAGGGGTAAGTGGGTGCGGTGTGGCTGGGGTGTGTTCCTCTGACTTGGGCAGGCTGCAAGGACACCAGACATCAGGAGTCTGGGAGAGAGAAGCCATGGGGGCCTTGTACATGGTCGTCTCATTTTTATCCTTGGACTCCTTGTTGGGTGTTTGTGGAGTAAACCAGTGAAGGCAGCCGACTGGAGTCTGTGGTGATCTGCCCCGTCCTCCGACTCAGACCAGACTCTGGTTTCCAGCACTTTCTTCCTCTCCCATCAGCTCCGCCCCGTCTGTAGATTTTAATAACAATAAACTAGCATACATTGAACATCTGCCGTGACCCAGGCACTGTCCTAAGTCCTTTTTATGCCTTCTTTTAATCTCTTCATAACACCCTAAGCACGGTAGTTACATCCACTCTGCTGTGGCTACCAGTCTTCAGAGTCAACGTCTAAGCCCTCTTCACAAATAACGTGGGGCTTCCCACAATCCTGCACCAGCCCCCCACTAGCCTTTTTCTAGCTACAAGCTCCTCACAGAGTCAGTTCAGGCCTCGCCCTTTCTAGAAAGCCTTCCTGCACTTCCCTCCGTGTGCCCCCGGCAGCTGCACCCGTGTGCGCCTCTGTACTTCCCTGCTGATCTCAGGTCTGTTCACGCGTCTGTGCACACCAGCGGGTGTCTGGGGTGGACTGGGTGCTGTATTTCTCCTCTCTCCCCGGTGCTGCCTTAGGAGGTGGGAACGAGGGTGAGTGGACAGACTTATGTGCAGGCCTTCCATAAAATGAAAAGAATGTTTCAGCTTATGCCAGAACTGGTTTCAACATTAACAATGAGTATGAGACCAAATGGTCAACAATTACCTAAAAACAAAGATGAGAATGTAAGGGGGCAGGGAAATTAGATGAATGGAAACAGAACAACCAGAACGGAAATAATGAGAATGTGTTCACGCTATGTGAAGAATGTAACCCATGTCACTGAACAACTTGTGTAGAAATTGTTGAATGGGAACCTAAACTGCTGTGTAAACCTTCACATAAAATGATATTCTTTTAAAAAAACGAAAAAGATGAAAAAATGAGTCTTAAGCAAACTGCTGTGTAGTATCTCTTGAGTATCATGCCAGCAACATCTAAATATTTACATGTTTAAACATCTTTTACATAAATATTTCCACAGAATCCTATCCTTCCATCCTCCAGTTTCCCAGCATTTTTTAAGACTCTGTCATGGGGTGGATGATATCTGGTCTATTTAAAATAAGATAACCCTGTTAGTGTGGTCCTGAGCTAAAATTCAAAGGAAATTGATGTTTGCAGAGTCTAACTTAATCAAGACTATATGAAATAACTTAGCTCTGTGCAGTGGAAAGTTTCCTTTCTTCTCTAGAAAATGCTTTTACTGAATGATCATTTTCTCTCTTTAAAAACAAACAAAAAAAGGCGATGGTATATAACATAAAGTTCTTCTGAACAGTTCAAATTGCTTCAATAATATAGACTTGTAGACTCTAAAACAACGTGCACCAGAGTCCATTCAGAAGTTTGAAAATGGTAACCGCGCATTTGAAAAGTTCAGAAGAGTGTCCGCTTGTGAAAATGGCCAAGGGAGGCATCCTGTCACAGGACACAGCCCATCTCCAAGTCCCACCTTCTCCCTGCACGTGGTGTCCCCGGCTCTGTGTGGGGCTGCCACCTCTGTCATTAGATCTCAGCTTCGAGGTCCCCTCCTCCCAGCACCTTCCTTGACCACTTCTGCCCCTCCCACTCTCCATCTTCCTGATGTCCCAGAGGCTGTCTGCATCTCCCGAGAGCCTGTGAGTGCCAGGAGGGAGGGCCTTGGGCTCTCAGACTCACTGCCCCCAGGACAGGGCGTGGAGACGGCACTTTGCAGCTGGGGAAGAAAGGAATTAACTCCAGGTACTTTGAGAAGATCAGCCGTTGAAGACCCTGCGGAGCACAGTTCTACTCTGACGTGCAGGGTCACCGTGAGTCAACAACTTGTTCCTAGCATGTTGTGGCTGTTAGTTGCTGTCAAGCTGATTCTGACTCACAGCGACCCTGCGTACGCAGGGGAGAATTGCTCCGACCCTGTGTGCGCGGGGGAGAATTGCTCCGACCCTGTGTGCGCGGGGGAGAATTGCTCCGACCCTGTGTGCGCGGGGGAGAATTGCTCCGACCCTGTGTGTGCGGGGGAGAATTGCTCCGTAGGGTTTTCACGGTTGTGACCTTTTGGAAGCAGATGGCCAGAACTCGTCTTCCAAGTGGGTGGGTTCAAACCGCCAACCTTTGGGCTAGCAGTCAAGCACTTAACGGTTTGCGCCACCCAGGGACTCCGTATTCAGGTATGAAATATAAGCTACTATTTCAATGCTGTGTTATCCCAAGGGAATGATTCTTTGATATGAAGATGTTAACAGAGTCCACTATGCTAAGATTCAGCTTCTGTATTCCAGATTAATCCAAACAAGGGATGCAGAGTTGACGTGGCATTTACCACAGAGCTCTATAACCCAAAGGTAAGCCGCCATCATTGGTGAAATAGCCCATCATCAGCAATCCCTATGAATATGCTTAAAGAGAAATTGTGAAAATCTTCCTAGTGACCTGGGTTATTTTCCTTGCTTCACATTTGTTTTCAGAATTGAGGAACACAGGTAGGTAAGAACTCAGGATGTAACTACCCGACTCCACGGCCTTATGCAGGGCTGCATTTGAGATGCAGCCCTCAGCCCCCTTCCTTAGGCCTCAGGGGACAATCTCACAGCTTCCTGTGGCCTCCCTCCCTCACACCACAGATTCCTGACTGACTCACTCTTAAATGCCACCTCATTCCTATTGCTGTCAGCTGGTGACATTTCTGATTAGCAGGCCGGCACAGCAGGCAGCGCCGAGGCCTTTTGTGACACGGCAGCCATTGTGAGCCTTGTGACATTCTGCCCACGCAGGCAGCGCTGAGCCAGGTTTCCTCTTCCATGTGGTCAACAAGACAGTGAGCAGAAGACTCACATAGAGATTAGAGCCAGGGGAACTTCCATGCCCTGGGCCAAGCCGGGAGGCTAGGCCAGGACACGGGAGGGGAGGAGACCCGACCACATTCTCTGTGTTGTTGATGAGTCAAAGCTGCCAGGTGAGCAAGCATTCAAGTGTCTCCTGATGGCAGAGCTTTGGAGATGAAGCATGAGGGTTCCGGAAGAATGCTTACTTACCAACACCCAGAAACAAGTTCTAACGCGGCAACAGTATGCTCAGACTTTGCTCGTTACCCTGAGAACTAAAAATGTTCTTAGAGCATAAGGAAGATGTCTTTGACTTCTAGCGCTGCAAACTGAAAGTGTACGATTAAAGCTGAAGGGAGACAATTACTCGACTGTTTTGACCAACAGCGTGCTTCTCTGGGTTTGATCCTGTAGATGTTCTGAGGGCATAGCTAGCTAACCGCAGTTCCCTTTCAGGGGGTGAAGGAGCGTTCTTTCAACTTTAGGCAACTGCTTTGATTCTGTGGCGCTGTTTGGGGGGAAAGCAAAAGGGGCTAATATCTGGTTCCTTTTCTCTTCCCCGGAAAAATGGCTTCAACATCAAGGAGACTGTGTGCCAGTCCAGTCTTCTGCCTTTTGATGTGCCCCCTCCCGCATGTTCCCTTCACCATTTTATTTTTTCTAATTGCACTGAGGTTTAGCATCTTAACGCACCACTGAGATTCCCTCTCATTCAAAACTAGCACCCTCAGGAGAAGCTGCCTGCCGGGAATCCGATTTCCTTTTTTTGAGTTAGTTCTTGAAAAAGGCTTATGGAGGCAATCTGATCTTGATTACAGTTTGCTTCCTTGTGGGCTTTTTCTATTTAAATCCATTTTTGGTTGTTGTTGTTGTAACTGGGACGCCACCAAGTTTAAACAACTGCAGAAGCTAAAAGAAGGCTGTTGCCCCAGCTGCTCCACCAGCTACACGAAGAACAGGGATTCCTGACCACGGCCAGGTCGCCCAGTAAGCCAGGTACGCGTGGGCTTACTTGTTATACTTACTAACCTGTAGTGAACAACCTCACCTGTTTTTCACATCTCTGATCAAAGGTGAAACCCTTATGAAATTGTTGACTACAGACTAGTAAGTGAACACAAGTAAGCCTGTATGTACCGTGCTTGCTGGTTAATCCGCCAGGGGCCCCTGGATGGGTGTGGGGGGCAGGGAATCTATGAACCTCCTCAAATTCTAGGCCCACTGCTGATGGTATGGGTATATGTACATTCTTCTGGAAAGAGGGCCCCTGACTTTTATTGTTGGGTTAAAGAATCTGTGACCTAAAAGGGTGAAGAACCTCTATCAGAGATGAGCCACATAGCTGACGTATCATTGAAGCATCCAGCTACGTAAAGACCACTACATCTATCGATGCTTGATGTCTCTAGATTGGAAAGTAGGCAAGGTGATCCAGGAACACCCAGTATAACCAAAAACAAACAAACAAACCCAACTCGTAGCAATGCTATAAGACAGAGTAGAACTGCCCCATAGGGTTTTCAAGGAGCAGCTGGTGGATTCCAACTGCCCACCTTTTGGTTAGCAGCCAAGCTCTTAACCACTACGTAAATACAAGCAAACAGCCTCTGTCACTCAGGGAGCTAGATCAGTCTTATCTGGATGATCTGGGCCTCTACTTTCCCAGACTGGATCTCAGTGTAGAGAGGGATGGAGTTAACACAGAGAGCGCCTGGGCTCTGGGGTCAGACAGACTTGAGCTCCAGCCCTGACTTATCACTTACGAGCTGTGAGACATGGAACAGCTTCTTTGTTAAACTTCAGTATCTTAATCTACAAAACTAGAGTAAGAGGACCTAACTCATAAGTAGCATGAAGATGTTATTTTTGTCAATGGGAACCAGCTGCTTCTCTTGGTTCAAGTTAGCAAACTTGAGGCCCAGCAAATGTTGGTCCACAGTGACCGAGTGAAGTACCCACTGGCCCAGAGGTTTACACCAAGCAGTGCTCAACAGACATGAGTGAAATTTCTCTGGAAAAGGCCTGGCCTTACAAGGGTGTCATCATAAGGCACACGTTTAATAGCAAAGAGTGAAGGACTGTTGTATTCAGCTGTGAGCACAAAAATCATTCTTTCTACAAAGCAAAGGCCACTACATCTATCAAACCTGCCATGTACAATGAACTCTTCTCAGTCCTGTGCGTGTTGGGGGTGGGCGGGAGGTGATGAGGAACCATTCTTGTTTAATTCCAAAATTTTTATTTCAGGAAGGTGCTGAACGTTTGGGGAGATGTTCTGCTCAAGTGTTTTTCAGGAACCAGAAATCCAGACCGTCCGTTAATGTAACTTGCACAAGGCTCATTGAGAAGAAAAAAAGACAGGAAGAGGATTACCTGCTTTACCAGCAAATGAATCAACTTAAAACCCCCTTGGGTGATATCAGCATACCTGGTATGAACAAGTGTCTGGAATTTCTACGTTCAGAAACTTGTGTAATTACTAAGTTTTTAAAAAAGGATGATCATTTAAATGTTTATCCCCAAACTGGCACTTTAATTCAGCCATAGAATGTGGTAGAAGGTTTTGCATTCCACCTCATTACTTAAACAACACTCAGAAATGTCATTTTCCCGTCCGTCGCCTTCAGTACAATATGGCACCTCCACCAAAAGCCATCTGTGCCTCTTCAGTCTCCCCACTTCTCGACCCAGAAGTGAGAGGTCGAGGTCTTTGCAACAGGCATGCGTGGAGGGGTGCCATGTTGAGGGTGGAGTCCAGAACCTGAGGTGAAATCTCTAGAGGGCTTTGGTGCCACTTTGGAACTTCAGGTGATGAGACAGCTCCAGAGCCTCCTCTCTGACCATCACAGCCATCAGGCTAGGTGAGCCGACGGTCCCCGGCCCTTTCGGAACACCGCAGTGGGGTAGTGTTTACCTCATTCCACGCCTGTCGCTAATGGGCAGTGGTGTGGCCCCTATTAAGAAATGAGCCTGCCCTCTGAGGTGACTCAGCTGCGATGACTCACCCTAAGTGAAGCAAGCTTATCTGCTTTGGCACCAGCAGAGCCGTGGGCAGCTCCGAGTCTCAGCACTTACTGGCAAATCCGATTTCCAAACCACAGAAATCATCTCTGGACTCGCACTGGGGCATCAAGCTAGACGTCGGACCACCACAGCACTCACAGCCCACGTTCTCTCTCAGCGCGCCTGTCCGCCCAGCTGCTGTGACAATCCCGTCCACCACGGGGACCTGCAGGCTCCATTCCTGAGCTCACCTGTTCCCCATCTATTCACTGGGGTGTGACTCCACGTTCTGAACAACCTGGAGACAATACTGCTGCTTGCACTCCTAAAAGTCAGAGCCTTGCGTGACTCTGTGATACTTTTCCAACAACTCAGATCAAATCCTGTTCCAAGGAGTTATGAGAAACAATTCAAATTCTTAGGCTGTTGTAGACTTTGCTTGAATTTAATATTGCTTGGAATAAATGGGCTGATGACTAATACTTCAAAATTTATAGTCATTTAGGGACTTTTTCTCCCTCAGCACTGGTTGAGGAAGTAAGAGTTGGTCACGGTGCCCTGGTGGCAAAGTGGTCAAGAGCTTGGCTGCTAACCAAAAGGTCAGCAGTTCAAATCCACCAGCTGCTCCTTGGAAAGCCTATGGGGCAGTTCTACCCTGTTCTATAGGGTTGCTATGAGTCAGAATGGACTCGACGGCAACAGATTTGGTTTTTTTTTGTATTCTCCTTAAAACACACATTTTAATAATTGTTTAAGAACTTTTCTTGGAATACTTGCCACAGGGTCACTAGATTTTGGACTTCTGAATAGCACAGGTTAACTGAATCATGTTCAGTTTAAAAGTCCTGTATGCACACAGTGCCCACTCTAGAACAATCTAAGTTAATGTGTCTACTAAGACGCTACAAAAATTATTTAATAGAAGATACCTTTTCATTCACAAAATTTTACAAGTTCCACTGTGACTTTAAGTTCAGCAGAGACGTTTAGTGGTGTGTGTACCTTGTCTGTATATATGAAATTATCTATTTAAAACCACAAAGGATTAGTTTTAGATAAAGTGAATCAAAACAATGGAGATATCCCTGGAGCAGCCAGTTCAAATTCCAGCAGATTCTATTTAGTATTTTACAATCCACTGGACTGTTCTAATGCAGTCTTCTCTACAATTTTAAGTGAGAAGATCTAGTCCATTTCAGAATATCCTTGTTCCACACTGCTTTTGCCCTTAAAAAAGTAGAGCAGTCTGGCTTTTCTTGTGTGTAGGAATTTCAGTTTTTGTAGTGAATTCATGACCTTCCTCTAGATGAACCCAAGTGTACACAGGAAATGACTGTGGGCCTGTGAACCATCAGCTGAAGTCCTGTCCGCCTAGCGTATCTATACCAGTGCTGTGAGCCCTTCTGCTGTCAAACGTCGTATTTAGTAGAGCCAACTTATCTTCTATGGCAATGGGTTTTGATCTCACAGATCTAAGCTCCCAGTGGCGCTGTATGATGAAACAGGTGCAGATGCGCTGGATGAAGGAAGCTTTTTAATCAAAGAACAAAGGGATGACGGGAAATTTCTTAATAGTAAAACAAGAAAAAAATGTTCATGTCAAGATGTTGAATTCAGAGTCTTGTGTTACATAATGTTCTGAAACCCTTATGGCCCTGCTGCTCATACCAGGGAGAAATGACAAATTCATTCATAAAATGCTGATATCCTTGTCAGAAAGTAGAAATCTGAAGCAGACTTTCTACAATAACATCTATAAAAACAGTCACAGCTCCTTGTTGATTATTTAACATACGTTGGCAGAAAAAATGACTTGGCCAAGTTAAAAAAAAATTACATAGAAAAGATAATGAGTAACACTGAAGTGCTCAAGGCTGTGCTGGAAGGTCCTTGGATGGTAATAAACGGGAAAGCAAGATGGGGCCAAAAAACCAAGATGATTCATGGAATTAACAAAGGATGACACTGCAGGGAAACAAGTTCTTTTTTTGCTTTATTCTCGACAGGTGTTTTCTGTTGGGCCCTCAGTGCTACTTATTATTCATTTTTAATTTTTATTACTTTCTACGTAACAGCTGTGTTGAAACTTTTCTATTTCTTCAAGGCCCAGAGCACACCCACGCCGCACAGTCTTGCCATCTACTTTACTGAGATGAGACATTTGCTTCCACAGTTTCCTTTCACCTCATAGAATCTCTCTATATTCCCCAACGCTCTCTTTTATCTTAAAGCTCCCTCTGCTTATACCCTTGATTCCAGTTTCTCTAGCTTCTTCTATGACTTTGCCGCATCAGAATCCTTCCCATCTCTGAAATTTTGTTAACCAGCTCCTTATCTTGTTCTGCAGAGATAGTCAACATTAGTGCTGTTGACCAATTACTTCATGAAACCACCACCACCTCCCCATTTCCTTTCTCATTGAGTCCACTTTTCAAAATTAGTTTCTGCATACACTGCCTCACCTCAGCCTCTTGCTGTCTGGTTTCCACCCTTGTGCGCGTAATTGCAACTCTATTACCTGAACGCCAGATGGCCAAATCTGATGATCCTTCTTGCTCCTCATCCTTCTGTTTATCTGTAGCATCTGACATCATCTGCTCCCACAGCTTCCTTGAGACTGTATTTAATATACCCAATACCAAGCTCAACTTGTTTTTACCCAAAAGGTTTCCACATCTTGGCCTCTATTTCTTTTGTAGTGTTCTCCTTGAGTTTGGCTAGAAACTTTGGTCATTATCACTCCTCCTCTCCTGACATTGAATAATTTTCCATTTCCCATCAAGTCTACCTCCACAATGTATCTTCGGCCCATCCTGTCTTCTCTGTCCCCACTGTCACCATCCTTCATACCTACGGTATTTCTCACCAAGACCACTGCCATCGCCTACTGTCTGGTCTCCCAGATTTCAGTCTCTTCCTCCATCCACACAGCTGCTAAAGTCATCTTCCCAAAGGACAGTGGTTCCACATTCACTCCAGAATCAAAGTCATACCCATCCTGGCACTGCCAACAAGGCCATTCATAGCCTGGAGAAAATATATTTTATACTCTATCAACACCAGTCACTGAGTCTGAACCTGCCCGGTACCTTCCTACCTTTAGTGTGCTTACTGTCTCTCTCATGCATGCTCCCCAACGCTCACCCCCACATACATGACAGGAATTCAAGGGCTAACTCAAATCTCATCTTCTCTGTGAAGCTTTCCCAGAACCTCTCTAAGCCAAAGTAACCTCTCCCTTCCCTGTGCTTCCTCAGCTCCGTGATCCTTTCTCTTAAGGAATGTATCGGCTGTATTTCTACACTGTCAGCATGTGGAGGGCAGGGGCCCACCTCTGACCCCTCACAGCACCAAGCAATCAATGAGTGCTTTTTGAGTTGACTATATTATAAACCAGACAAGTCAAGTCCTACCAATACAGAATTCATGCTAACAGAATTTAGGATTATTTCACTAAGAAGGATTAGCTTCCTAATATGCCTGTTAGGATTCTTCACTTACTGTGCTATTATTGGGCCTTAAGATAGACGAAGAATGTCTTCCATGGAACTGCATAAAATGATGATCCATGAGCAGTTATTTCATAAGTTAACTACTAGCTAAAACTTGAGTTCCTAAAAATCACAAAAGGTGATTTATTAATCACTGTATCCCTACCTCCTAGCAATGTCTGACATTGAGTAGATTTTTGATAAATATTTGCTGAATTGAAAAGACTTCAGGCCCAGAAACAATTCCATAGGAAAAACCCACCTGATTTCTTCATGTCTTCAAAAAAAAGTGACACAGATGCTGCCAACACATTGATTCAAAGAAATGATCAGAGACAAAGACATCTGGTAGACTGGGAGGCAAAGACCACCATATTGATTGTAGATACAAACCAGAAAATAATGTGGCGATCACAGACAGACTTTTCAATTTAATTAAAAACACTTCTCCACCAACAAGACCTTATGAGATTAACTTCGAGTATCATCATAGCTTTGACATAGATTTACTCAGTATGGCAAGCTGAAGCATGTAAATCTCCATAAACGCAGAAACAGATACTAAGAAATCACACGTCCAGCTCAAGGTTTTGCTGTGAGATGATTGATATGACTAAGTGTGAGCTCTTATTTCACTACTGAAACTTCTGAAATTTTGTCTCAAATATGCCTTAATACAAATGTGCTTTTTCTCCTTCTCAGATTGCCATGGATATATTGATCCCTCTCTGAGACCCATCTGGGATTTGGCTGTTCTTGGCAGCTCTTACGTGATGTGGGAAAAGACAAGCCAGTTTTTGTACTACTATGTGGTACAACTCAGTAGCATGGTGCAGTGGGTAAGAAACACTGAAGACGTGACTTGTGCACAAGAGTATAACCCATGCTGTCTTCCCGGAATTTCCTAATTGCGTGGTGAGCTGTTTAAGTGCATGTCATTCATTCAGCAAGTGCCTGAGTGCTGCTATGGACCAGGTATTGTTTTAGGGACTGAGGCTACGGCAGTGAGCAAAACCGTAATGTTGCTGCCCTCAGTGAGATTAATTCAATAAATAAGTAAATGCATATCAAATGGTGGTGAGTACTACGGAGAAGAATTAAGTAGAGAAAAAGGTATGGGTAGAGTTACTATTTAGACATGCATCAAGGAAGGCCCCTCTAACTTGAGCAGAGATGACGTGGGAGCAGAGACGTAAAGGGTGAGCCATGCTTCCGCACGGGGAGAGAATTTTAGGCAGGGGAAGTGTGAGTGCACAACTGCCAAGGCTGGGATGTGGCTGGTGTGGCTGGAGCAGAGTGAGCAAGGGGCACATGCCAGGAGACACAGTCAAAGAGATGGCAAGTGGAGGGGCAGATCACGTAAGGTCCTGTAGACCATTCATTCTAAGAACTTCGTGTTTTACCCTGAGATGGGGGCCGTGAGAGGGTTTTAAGCAAAGGAGTGAGATGATCTGACTTAACCACAGGATCATCCTGGCTGCTACGCGGAGAACGGACCACAGGGAGACAAGGAAGGGCAGGATCAGGGAGATCAGGAGAGTACTGCAATAATCTAGGCGAGACATGGTGGTGGCTTGAACCAGGGTGGTCGCAGTGGAGGTGGAAGGAAGTGTTTGGATTCTGGATGTTTCTGAAGGTAGAACAACCATATTTTATGATAGGTTGGAAAGGATATTAGAGAATGAGAAGAGTCAAGGATGATTCTTAGGATCTTGGCCTAAATAACTAGGAGGATGGAGTTTTCATTTACTGACTTGGGGAAGACTGCAGGAAGAACAGGTTTGGAGGGAAGTCAGCCTGACTTGGCATCTGCTACGTTCTATAAACAAGTAGAGAATTTGTGTAATCATCTGGACATGAGAGTCTGAAGTTCAGGGGAGAGGTCTGGGCTGCAGTCATCACCATACAGATGATATTTAAAGCTACAAGGTTGGATGAGTATCAGTAGAGAAAAGATGTTATCTGAGGATTGAGTCCTGGAACACTTCTCACTTTAGAGGTTGGTGATACGGGAAAAGTGTCTCAAGGAGAACTGACTGATTTATCAAATGCTCCTGGAAAGTCTAGTAAGATGAGGACTGAGAACTGACCCCTTGATTTAGCATTTGGAAGCCACTGGAGACCTTACCAAGAGCTGTTTTCCGAGTGAGGGGCAAAAGCCTGATTGGAGAGAATGGGAGGGGAGGGATGGACACTGCATCTCTTTCAAGGAATTCAGCTGTAAAGGGGGGGTTAAAAAAAAAAAAAAAAGGGACACTAGCTGGAGAATGGGTGGGTATGTGGTTGAGTTTTGTTCTCTGTTGTACTTTTAAGTTGGGAGATTTATGTGTTGAGGAGAAAAATCCAGTTGAGAGAGGCAAGGTAGGAATTACAGGAAAGAGAAGGAAGAATTGTTGGAGTTAATGTCTTTGTATAAGCAAGGAAGGAAAGATCAATCCAGGAGTTGATCTCAGGAGCATGGAGTAATCTGAGAGCTCAGCTGGAGGGAGACAGTGGTGGCCCAAATGCTGGTAAGAGGGCAGACATCATGGTGGGAGCTTGTGGAAGTTCTAGTCTACCTGCTTCTGTCTTAATGAAAGAGGATGCAGGCATCTGCTGCGAGTGAGGATGGCTGATTTCCTCCCCCATCTACCAAGATGACCATCTCCTTCAACAAGAGCTTTCACCTTCACTGAGAAGTTCAAAATCATAGTTAGGGGAAAAAATGTGTTTACAGTACAGAAAATGGTGTCAAGATAATTTAGAACTAACTGAAATGAATGAAGGGCAACTCAGGAGGAACAGAGAACACACTGAGACGACAGAGAAAATCAGGGCTGTGGTAATGTCACTGCTTCCCTTCCTTCTGCGGTTGTATATGACACATGACCTAAGTGACTACCAGGACATCCTCGGGTACGAAATCAGCAACCCCATTTCTCTCGTTCTAGCCAGTCTGACTGGTCCATCATCTGCCCTTTAATATCCCTCAACCAGTCTCCATGTTTCCTGCCAGTGGAAAAGTGGGGACACACTTGTATTTGTTGGGTGCCGTCGAGTCGGCGCCTACTCAAAGCCACCCCGTGTACAACAGAACGAAACACTGCCCGGTCCTGCACCTTCCTCACAGTCGTTGTTCTGCTTGAGCCCACTGTTGCAGCCACTGTGTCAGTCCATCTCACTGAGGGTCTTCCTCTCTTTCGCTGACCCTCTATTTGTAGAGTTAAGAAAACAGAGATGCAGAGGGAGAGGGACAGTCACTGAGTTAAGAGTTTCAGGTTCTTTATACTCTGTGGGATTTACGTAAGTAATAACTGAATCTGCCACTCACTTGCTGGGTCACCCATGGCAAATCACTTCATTTCTTAAGAGCCTTTTAAACGAGAACTAACAAATTTATTTTAAAAACTTATGATAAATGGAGAAAAGACTGAAGTTGTCAAGGATTTCATTGTACTTGGATCCACAATCAACACCCATGGAAGCAGCAGTCAAGAAATCAAACAATGTATTGCAGTGGGCAAATCTATTGCAAAAAACCTCTTTAAATTGTTAAAAAGCAAAGATGTCATTTTGAGGACTAAGGTGCACCTGACCCAAGTCATAGTGTTTTCAATCGCCTCATATACATGTGAAAGCTGAACAATGACTAAGGAAGACTGAAGGACTGACGCTGTTGAACTGTGGTCATGGGGAAGAATACTGAGTATTCCACGGACGGCCAGAAGAACCAACAAATCTGTCCTGTAAGAAGGACAACCAGAATGCTCCTTAGAAGCAAGGATGGCAAGACTACATCTCACATACTTTGGACATGTTATCAGGAGGGATCAGTCCCTGGAGAAGGACA